AACTCTCGATAATCGATGCACAATCTCATTGTACCATCCTTCTTACGAACAAATAATACTGGTGCACCCCATGGTGAAAAGCTAGGTCTAATAAAACCTTTATCTAACAACTCTTGTAATTGTGACGTCAGCTCTTTCAATTCAATTGGGGCCATTCTATATGGAGCCTTGGAAATTGGAGATTTTTCTGGGATTAAATCAATTACAAACTCTATCTCATGATCTAGAGGCACCCCAAGTAAATCATCAAGAAATACCTCTGGAAACTCTTGTGCCATGGGTACATCACAAAGATTTGGATTGTATTATGCTTCAATAGCCCTAACACTCACCAAATACCCTACACACCCACTATCTAGTAACCTTTGTACTTTCAATAGCGATATGGTTGGAACTTTTTCTATCCCAATGAATGTAAATGGCTCATTCCCCAAAAGTTGAAAGGTTACTGACTTCCTCTTACAATCTGTAGTGGTTTGATATCTTGACAGCCAATTCATACCCAAAATTATATCATAATCTTTCATATCTAACACAATTAAATTTGCACAGAGCTCCCAATTTTCTATAAGGATCACACATGCTCTTACAATCAGATTGGTTTGTTGTACATCTCCAGATGGGATAGTTACACTATAACTGACCTGTTGCATATCAGGTGTCCTACCCAACCTCCTCACATACTCAATGGAAACGAATGAATGCGTAGCCCTTGAATCAAACAGTAAAAGTGTTGGGATACCAAAAATAGGGAATTTTCCTATTACAACTGATCGATTTACCTCGGCATCTGATCTTGTGATAGTAAACACTTTGGCCGATACCTTTTTTTGCTCCATAGGATTTGGATTACCTGGGCATGCTCTAGCAAGATGTCCTACCTTTCCACAAACATAACATGTCCTAGTCTCTGTAGGACATGCTTCAGTATGCTGTCCACCACATTTGGGGCAAGATGGTTGTGCTATTGAGGCTTTTCCTTGATCTATCGTTGGACGTTTGCCCTGACCCCAATGTTGTTGTCCTTGTCTCGGTTGAAACTTAGGCTTCTGACTCTGTCCTTGGAAAGCTCTTTTCTTATCATTTCGAAGCCAACACTATCCTTGACCTTGTCTAAACTATCGTCAAGCCACTTGAGCACGACTAATTCTTTGTTCAGCTTGTTCTGCAACTAATGCTCTCTCTGCAATTTGAGAATATGAAACATCTTGGATTCCTGCCATGCTTACGTCTCAATATAATTTTGGTCTTAGCCCCTCAAGAAATCTTTCCACCTTTAGTGTATCAGTATTAATCATATGGGTAGCAAACCCGGATAGTTGTTCAAACTTATGAATATACTCCCCCACTATTATCCCTCTTTGTCTTGGCTGTATAAATTCATTCATCTTTATGGTTCGAACTGGGGCTATAAAATATTTATTACAAAATAACTCTTTAAATCTCTCCCAAGTCTTGCACTAACATCTTTAGTGTTTACCGCCTAAGTGACACGACTAAATTCTGGATAGCACCTAAGCGCTATGAGTGCAGTGCCTATGCGCTGCTCCTCTATCCAAAGGTGACTTCTTCTGGGTCAACCCGATGCCTGGGTGTTAGGTTCCAGCACCTGGGCTCTGACTTGCTATTCAAAGTTTCAATCTTGGAGCTTGGGCGTTCCAATATGGCGCCAATTTATTGTTTCTTTTCATTGACTTTGGCTTTCTTGTTCACTTTAGTACCCTTTTTACACCACCATACCTAACTTTTAAAACAACATTAGCAAACAATCAAGTTAAAATTCTGTAAAACTTGTGAGTAAAAAATTCACTTGTCAAATACCCTCAAACTTAATCATTCGCTATTACCTTGAGCAAACAAACCACAACGAAAATGAAAGTCACTAAAAGAAAATACACACGCAAACAATTAGTCTGATAGCTAGCCTTTTTGGCTCGGTATTAAAAGCTTTCACATTTATGAACGGCTTCAAAATCACAACATAACAGCCAAAGTTCCACATATTCAATGCATAGCAAGTGTGTGTGTGTGTGTGTGTGAATGATCAAGTGTAACCTCGTACATTTAGAAGTTGGTTCACTTCCCAACTCTCAGTGGTTAATTATTTCCTTTCTTCGCTTGTGAGATTCACACCCTCAAACTTGTTTTCTTCATTCTTTCACTATAGTGTAATTTTAAAGTTTAGTTTCACTTATCAATAATTTACACCACTCCAATTTAGTTTAGTTCAACCAGTAACATCAACAATTTATCATGTGATGAATCTCCCAAGTAATGAGTATTTCAACAATCTAGTTTATATTAAGTGATTCAAACCCACTAGTTGCCTAATTCCCAATAATTTGTTTTTTGCGCACTTGTATCAATTTTTTTCAACTCAATTTTTTGACTTCACCTTTTTTCTTTTCTTGACCACTGTAGTGAGTTTTGAATCTGCATCTTTTGAATATTAAAGGGTACTAAGTTTCAAAATACTCCTACAGACTTACTAGCTCTAGTAGAAAAGATGCAGATGTGAAGCGTAGACTGAATAAATGCCATGTTTATGTTCAATTAAAGAAATAAACCATTTACGAGGGTTAGATATCTGGGATTCGATCATCATCAAGTTCACGTTAGAAAGTCACGTACACTCCGCAATCTTTTTCACATAAATGGAACCACCATAATCTCAAATCATTTCTTACATCAATTAAAATGCCCCAAATTCTATTGTATACATTTAAAGGATGTTGTGAATCATGGATTAAGGAATTAAGCACCTAAGTCATCTATTCAGTCTATGCATACAAATCTTCATGTTCCTATAAGATGCTAAACTTAATTATGGTGCATAAATATTGTACTGCTTCACATAGATAAGCAAAGAATTCAACTGAAGCATATGATTCATCCTTAATCCTCAAACTAATACATTCTTTCGAGTATTCCCATCATAGCCAACAAAACTATCTAATTCACACAAGAATACAATTGTTTTAACACACAAAACAAGAAAATCACAAATAAGTATTTAAGTGACTAAACGACACAGGCAAGTAATGTCATCCCCCCAACCTTAAATAAAACATTGTTCCCAATGAGAAATTTAAATAAAAAAAGAGGAAGACTTACCTGATTGAAGACATTAATTATCTTCCTCGTCGTCAGTGTCCTAGAGAGAGAGGAAGACTTACCTGATTGAAGACATTAATTATCTTCCTCGTCGTCAGTGTCCTAGAGAGATAGGTTTCGATTTGCAATGTGATCAAGTAGTATAGGCGATTGAGGGAATGCCTTGTCACAATATATCAAAGCCAAGACCGCGTTGAACTCATCATGATAGGGGAACTGCTTGTATATTATATTTTGCATCAGATTCATTTGCAATTGCATTACATGAAACTGAGGGGTAAGGTCAGTATTAGGGTCAATGGTTGGGATTGGTCAACGTGATCAAGACGGTCGTTCTTCCTATATAGGGGTGGTACACTAATGGATACCGATCAGCTCATAAATTTCCAAGTCTCCTCTCGTGTGATTGTCAGTTTGGGGTACACAACCTCCTTGAACGAGTGTTTCACAACAGCACCCTTCAGAAAAAGCTCAAAGATCAATAAGGGGTGTCCCAAACCACATAAAGTCAACATTCTCAAAGTATATATAGGATGTTGTTGTGAATAATTTTGCCTACATCAATTGATAGGTGGCATTGAATAGGAAATTAAGGGTCGCGTGCTCTTTGGTTACCTCGCTTAAATTGCTACTGGGTAATCTTGTTGTAATATTCCGAATTTTGTGCTCATTTAATTTTTAGAATAGCAATTTAACTTTTCAAAATTTAGCAGGACCAAAAAATTATTTATGGTTGCCAAATTTTGCATTGGTTGATTTATTAAAAGTTTTTCCAAATAATTTGTTAATTAGGGGTTTGGGATAAATGTCCATTTTACACCTAATTACTAAAGTTAAACATTGTTTCTCCAACTTGGCCGAAAATTGATGAAACAATTTATGCATGAGGTGTTTTAACTTAAGCATGTGGTGGCTAAGGCATGCATGAGGTGTTTTAACTTAAGCATGTGATGGCTAAGGCATGCATGAGGTGTATTAACTTAAGCATGTGGTGGCTAAAGGCATGCATAGGTGTTTAATTGAAGTTAAGGTTTTCTTGCATGTTGCCCATGTGTAGAATTGGTTGAAGAGTCACCCAAAATTTATCATTTTTCTCACCTATAAATAGATGTGTTGCTGCCCTTTATTTCCCTTGCATGAAATCCAACTTAACACTTGTTTATAAGAGGGTAGAAAACGTGAGGGAAGAAGAGGACCAGCCTAGCATTTCTCAATTCATTTTCAACCAAGATTTCTTCAAGTTTTATTGAAAGATACTTTCTATGCTTAAGTGGTATGATTTCATGGTAATATTTATGCTTAAGCTATGCATGAAAAACCATAATATGAATGTGGTGGACAAGTCCACAAAGTTAGATATCTATTTATGCCTTAGGACAAGTCCGAAGGGCACTGGCAAGCCGGAATGTGCAAGTATGTGTTTGATTGCATTCTTTTGTGTAGTATTAACATGTTAAAATCCAAGCATGGTATCTTACTGAGTATTCTTCATACTCATAGTGTTCTATACTAAATTCTTAGATTCATAATTGAGGAGTTGGTGGAAGTCAGTCGGCATAATCGATAATGTGTTAAGGACAAGGTGGTTTTGCATCGATGTTTTGTTTTTGCATGCTTTGTCTGACTGCTTTCCGTATGTTTTTGTATGGTATTGTATAAAAACATGTATGAGACATGATGTAATATGGTACCGGAAGTAAATTAAGCAATTATATCTTCTATGTTGTGTTAATAGAACTTTTTTTTAAAAACTTCTCCTTGCAAGTGACAAAAGACAGAAACGGGACAGTTTTTGGGTCAATTTCAACACATTATTTTTGACTCCATAAACGTCCATTTGAGACTTTGAAAATAGCATTCCTAATTGAGGTTTCTTAATATGGGCACAAGAATCACTCAATTTGGATAGCTGTAGCCTAAGATATGAATTTTTAAACGTTGAAGGGTCAAATCTAAAATTTTTGTGCAATACCTCACTATTTTCAGTAAAACGCCCATATTATATGATCTTGAAAATTTTTTATATTTTAACCTAGAAAACTACTTAAAAATATCTTTCTAATGTCATGAATTTCATAGAAAACGGAGTTGGGATGAATTTTATAAAAATAGTCGAACTTGCTGCCACAACTAACCGTGACAGTGCATAGTCCGTATATGTAAAGTATAATTTCTTGTCAACATGCGCTTCTGCGGGCCATTAAAAATTTATTAGAGACATTTTACCAAATTGAAAATAAGTTTCTAACATGTAATACTTCTATTTAAGAGTATTTACATGTACCAAAGGCAGAAGCTATTATGTTTAGTATGTGACACTCGAAACTTAAGTTCGAGGTGTCACACTTGTTGCTAGAGACGAAGTGATGCCATGGCTTACACTCTGTAGTCATCATACTAAAGGTAGAGAAGTTAATCACATCGGTCTCTAACAGCTTCCAAGAAGTTCCAAACTTGGCCAAGATCCGAAGGATTTCATCGAGAGCAATTCCCTCTTCACGAAGCCTTGAATACTCATCAACATTAATATCCGACAGATTATAGAACCTATTGATGGAGGTTCTATCAAAAGGGATCCATTTACCCAGCAAAAACACTCGAATGTCTCTATAATCCTTTGCATAGGTAGTCTAAAAAACACTTTCCATTTTTCATTGCCGAATCAGCTTTGTCATGTAATTGTCAAAATGTCTTTTTAGTATACAGGTTTTGTATACCACCATGTAATTACATCGTTCAACAGCCTTGGTACTAATGAATTCGCTCCTATCAAAGGAACTGGAAGAGGCTGCAACTTTTTATCACTTTTTAGGTGGCATTGTACCTTCAGTCCCATCTTGAATTTGTTCATTCTCCCCAACTTGATGATTTTAATTTCATTTTCCCAAACAGCTTTCCCCACACTTGAGATTTATCCTACAAAAGACAATGAGATTGTTACCAACAAAAAATATGTAATTATAAAAGAAAGAAAACTATATAATAAGAGAGGAATAGAGCTTGGATTGCCTCCCAAAAAGCTCTTTTTTAAAGTCATTAGCTAGACTTAGTGTCGCTATTTTTCTAGAACAAAGAGTTTATGACTTTCTTTATGGTTGGAAAATCTTCC